GAATGCACGTTGATTCATTTCATTCTTACTTCACTTCTCGTCGACGCTTTACGTATCGTTAAATGGTGAATATGAAATAATTCGAAATTTCTGTTGGAAACCGCAAAATTATTTTACTCATTTTTATTGATTTATTTTCCGCTGGGAATATTCGAAAGGAGAAATACCTAAAAAGATAGTTTGGATATTAAACTTTAATGGCTATTAAAACGACACTGGATATGCAATAATAAATGATATGCTCGATAAATACCACTTTATAATTATTTAGAGTAATAAATAGAAAGGTGAATGTATTTCGTTTGTTTAAATCGAACAAAATCATCAACATTTTTTCTATTCATAATGAATACTTAATACGAAATTAATAATTTAAAGTTTTATCCAAATTTTGAGTGCAACAAGAATTTTTAAAACCGAGGCAGCAACGCTGCCGAGGCAGTAGCTCAATTGTTTATATATGTTAGTGTATTGATATATACAATATTAACAATATTACTAAAAACCGAGGCAGCAACGCTGCCGAGGCAGTAGATCAATTGTTTAAATATGTTAAAATATTAATATACACAATATTAACAATATCACTAAAAGCCGAGGCAGCAACGCTGGCGAGGCAGTAGCTCAATAGTTTACAAATGCGAGTATATTAATATTCACAATATTACTAAACCCCGAGGCAGCAACGCTGCATCAGTTATTTATGTATGTTAATATATTAATATATACAATATTAACAATTTTACTAAAAGTTGAGGTAACAATGCTGCCGAGACAGTAGCTGAATTGTTTATATTACATATATGTGAGTATATTAATGTACAGGATGCCCATTATGTATGGAATACAGTATTTTTAGTAACTTTTTATATAAAAGTTGTTTATTATTTTATTTGCCATAATAAGACAGCATTGAATTGTGTTTGTTTCAGAAAACAAATGAGTAACGAATAACATTTGAATTTTTTGAAGTTGCTTTTTCGATGAGGTAAAATCTTAGTACATAGTAATCTTAGAAGAGTTGAAATGTTGTTATATTTCCTTCGATTTCTATGAAAATATCGCCCTTTTTAACCTAATTTGTCACAGATTTCTGAGAACCAGTCTTCGATAGATCTTTAACATTATATTTCACATACTTCTAATTGTGTTCGTTTGCGATCCCCATAACCGACATAATTAAAATTTCTATGCGTTCAGTTTCTGTTAAATGAACCATTTTTATTTTTAATTAATTGAAAAATCAATTGAATACTGTTTTATTATGGCAAATAAAATGTTAAACAACTTTTATAGATAAAGTTTTTTTATAAAGTCGATATTTACCGAGATGTAAAGTATATTCCATACATAATGGACACCTGTATAATATTAAGAATATTATTAAAAACGGGTATCTTCCCCATTGTTGTTTGTATCGAAATATTTTTCAAATAAAACTTGTTAAGAATTAAAAAAGGAACAACTTTTGTAGGCACCATTTTTTAAAATTATCAATTTTTTAATTTCCCTGTGAATAGTATAGAAATTAAATTCAAGATTATCTTCCTAATTATTGTTTGTATCAAAATATTTTTCAAATAAAACTTGTTAAGAATTAAAAAAGGAACAACTTTTGTAGGCACCATTTTTTAAAATTATCAATTTTTTAATTTCCCTGTGAATAGTATAGAAATTAAATTCAAGATTATCTTCCTAATTATTGTTTGTATCAAAATATTTTTCAAATAAAACTTGTTAAGAATTAAAAAAGGAACAACTTTTATTGGCACCATTTTTTAAAATTATCAATTTTTTAATTTCCCTGTGAATAGTATAGAAATTAAATTCAAGATTATCTTCCTAATTATTGTTTGTATCAAAATATTTTTCAAATAAAACTTGTTAAGAATTAAAAAAGGAACAACTTTTATTGGCACCATTTTTTAAAATTATCAAATTTTTAATTTCCCTGTGAATAGTATAGAAATTAAATTCAAGATTATCTTCCTAATTATTGTTTGTATCAAAATATTTTTCAAATAAAACTTGTTAAGAATTAAACAAGGAACAACTTTTGTAGGCACCATTTTTTAAAATTATCAATTTTTTAATTTCCCTGTGAATAGTATAGAAATTAAATTCAAGATTATCTTCCTAATTATTGTTTGTATCAAAATATTTTTCAAATAAAACTTGTTAAGAATTAAACAAGGAACAACGTTTGTAGGCACCATTTTTTAAAATTATCAATTTTTTAATTTCCCTGTGAATAGTATAGAAATTAAATTCAAGATTATCTTCCTAATTATTGTTTGTATCAAAATATTTTTCAAATAAAACTTGTTCAGAATTAAACAAGGAACAACGTTTGTAGGCACCATTTTTTAAAATTATCAATTTTTTAATGTCCCTGTGAATAGTACAAAATTGTAATTCACGATTATCATCCTAATTATTATTTGTATCAAAATATTTTTCAAATAAAACTTGTTAAGAATTAAATAAGGAACAACTTTTGTAGGCACCATTTTTTAAAATTATCAATTTTGTAATTTCCCTGTGAATAGTATAGAAATAAAAATTTAAAATTATATTCGTAATTATTGTTTGTATCAAAATATTTTTCAAATAAAACTTGTTCAGAATTAAGAAAAGAACAACGTTTGTAGACACTATTTTCCAAAATTATCAATTTTTTAATTTCCCTCTGAATAGTATAGAAATGAAATTTAAGGATATCTTCTTAAATATTGTTTGTATCAAAATATTTTTCAAATAAAACTTGTTAAAAATTAAGCAAGGAACAACGTTTGTAGGCACCATTTTTTCAAATTATCGATTTTTTAATTTCCCTGTGAATAGTATAGAAATGAAAATTTAAAATTATCTTCCTAATTATTGTTTGTATCAAAATATTTTTCAAATAAAATTTGTTCAGAATTAAACAAGGAACAACGTTTATAGGCAACATTTTTTAAAATTATCATTTTTTTAATTTCCCTGTGAATAGTATAGAAATGAAAATTTTAAATTATCTTCCTAATTATTGTTTGTATCAAAATATTTTTCAAATAAAACTTGTTCAGAATTAAACAAGGAACAACGTTTATAGGCAACATTTTTTAAAATTATCAATTTTTTAATTTCCCTGTGAATAGTACAAAATTGTAATTCACGATTATCATCCTAATTATTATTTGTATCAAAATATTTTTCAAATAAAACTTGTTCAAAATTTAACCAGGAACAACGTTTATAGGCACCATTTTTTAAAATTATCAATTTTTTAATTTCCCTGTGAATAGTATAGAAATGAAAATTTAAGGTTATCTTCTTAATTATTGTTTGTATCAAAATATTTTTCAAATAAAACTTGTTCAGAATTAAACAAGGAACAACGTTTATAGGCACCATTTTTTAAAATTATCAATTTTTTAATTTCCCTGTGAATAGTATAGAAATGAAAATTTAAGGTTATCTTCGTAATTATTATTTGTATCAAAATATTTTTCAAATAAAACTTGTTCAAAATTAAACAAGAAACAACGTTTATAGGCAACATTTTTTAAAATTATTAATTTTTTAATTTCCCTGTGAATAGTACAAAAATTAAATTCAAAATTATCTTCCTAATTATTGATTGTATCAAAATATTTTTCAAATAAAACTTGTTAAGAATAAGAAAAGGCACAACTTTTATTAGCATCATTTTTAAAAATTATCAATTTTTTAATTTCCCTGTGAATAGTATAGGAAAAGAATTCAGGTTTATCTTCCTAATTATTATTTGTATCAAATATTGACGTTTTCTGAAATTTCACAATGTTATTTAAACCTTTGCAACTTCATTATTAATTCCAATTAATTTCAATATCTTCGAATGATTTAATTAATTCAAATTAAAAAAAAAATCGAATAAATTTTCGGTGTTTTTCCTCTAATTTTTTTTTTCTTCTCTGTAATCACTTTATTTATATACTACATTTTTTGGGTCAACCCGATTATCCGAACCAAAACAATAAAATCTCCGACTTTTTAATTTACATAAAAAAAGTCATTTAAAATAACCACTTATCGTTATTTATCTAATCGAAATCATAATAATAATAATAATTGAGCAAGCTTTTTAATAAACCCAATTAAAAATTTTTTATATTTCTCAAACGACGTTTATTTAGAATATTTTTCAATTTCATGGATTTTTATTGATTCAGAGAAAAAAATCTAGGAAATATTCTGAATACCAAATCAGATGCAAATTTAGATGATAAATTCGAAAAAAAAAAATGTTGTTTTTTCTGTATTACGCAAATTCATCATTCTTCGGCGTGCATTGAATTTAACTTAACAGCTTAAAAAAGTTTGCGATAATAAATTATGCAACGATTTTAATGCAACTTTGACGCAAATAATTTTTTCAATACATTTTATATAATCAAAATTCGACTTTCATTCGAGATTTACTAATTAGAAGAACTAGAGAGCGAAACTTGAACAATCCAAAAAATAATTGCAACGAAAATGCAATCTTAATGACGTAATAAAAGAATGAAACATCATTTCGGGTTATCCCAAAGCTAAAAATAAATCAATTTTACTTAGAAAAAATATTTGGAATATCAATTAGAAGAGTTGTATTTATTGATGTTAATGGTTGTTTAATTTACGCCTGATGATGACCAATAAATGGGTTTATGCAATAATTTGGCCGTTGCATACTGAATGGAAAGGAAAACGAGCCACTTTCTCCCGTTATTAGATCAAATGGAACAAAAGGAGCCAAAAAAGAATGAGATAACTTTTAATAGGAAATAAATGGCTCAAATTGTTTATATTTTAGTTACTCGGAAAAAAACGTGAATAAATTCCTAATAAATCGTCTTTAACTAGGCGTAAAAATCTTTGAATGTAATCCCCAAGGATTTTAATATTAATTTTTAGTCCAAGTCAATCATTTCAATTTTTTTTTAACATTGAATCTAAAAATAATTAAATAATTACAAAAAAATTTTTTGCAGCTCCCCTAACCGTCGGCTTAATAGGATTAATATTATTAGCAGTTGCCACATCAATAATGTTCGTACATCCATACGATATCATGTTTAAATGGGTAATTACAACTTAAAATTTTAATTACAACAATTACAACTTAATTCGTGTTTTAGAAAATTATATTCACAGAAGGAGGCGAAATTTTCGAAACGTGGCGCTTACCACCGGTTGATTTATACCTCCGCGTGCACCTGTTTAACATCACGAACGCGGAGGAGTTCTTACGCGGCGAAGATGAAAAGTTGAAAGTTAAAGAAGTGGGTCCCTACGTCTACAGGTAACTAATTGACTCAAATAACCGATTATAATTAATAAAAATTGCATTTACAGAGAGGTGATGACCCACGAGAACGTTACTTTCAACGAAAACGGGACGGTTTCCGCGATTCCGAAACACCCATTGGAGTGGGTGCCCGAATTGTCAAACGGGGACCACGAAAAAGACCAATTAACCCTAATCAACATCGCCTTGTTGGTAAGATCGAATTGAAAGTGGAAAAAATAGATTTAAAATCGAAAAAAAATTCATTTGAACCCAAACTCGACGCAATTCGGATCAAAATTAACCTACTTCCGGTTAAACCGGAAGTAATAACTCAAATTAATCGTTAAAATTAAATTCAGAATCAAAAATCGTTTCATTTGAGCCCAAACTCGGCTTAAATCGGATTAAAATTAACCAACTTCCGGTTAAACCGGAAGTAACGATTATTTTCTATTTATTAACGATTTTAAATTAAATTTTTAATAAAAATTTCTTTAATTTATCGAATTAATCGTTTTAAAAATTAAAAATCGTTTCATTTGAGCCCAAACTCGATTAAATTCGGATTAAAATTAACCAACTTCCGGTTAAACCGGAAGTAACGGAATAATAATTCAAATTAATCGCTAAAATTAAATTTAGAATCAAAAATCGTTTCATTTGAGCCCAAACTCGACTTAATTCTTATTAAAATTAATCAACTTCCGGTTAAACCGGAAGTAAGGCTTTTTTATGATTTATTAACGATTTTAAAATAAATTTTTAATAAAAATTTCTTTAATTTATCGAATTAATCGTTTTAAAAATTAAAAATCGTTTCATTTGAGCCCTAACTCGATTTAATTCGGATTAAAATTAACCAACTTCCGGTTTAACCGGAAGTAACGAAAATAATAATTCAAATTAAACGTTAAAATTAAATTTGGAATCAAAAATCGTTTCGTTTGAGCCCAAACTCGACTTAAATCGGATTAAAATTAACCAACTTCCGGTTAAACCGGAAGTAAGGATTTTTTTCTATTTATTAACGATTTTAAATTAAATTTTTAATAAAAATTTCTTTAATTTATCGAATTAATCGTTTTAAAAATTAAAAATCGTTTTATTTGAGCCCAAACTCGATTTAATTCGGATTAAAATTAACCGACTTCCGGTTAAACCGGAAGTAAGGCTTTTTTTACGATTTATTAGCAATTTTAAAACGATTTTTTAATGCAAATTTCTTTAATTTATCGAATTAATCATTTTAAATCGATTTAAAATTTAAAATCGTTTCATTTGAGCCCAAACTCGATTTAATTCGGATTAAAATTAACCATCTTCCGGTTAAACCGGAAGTAACGGAATAATAATTCAAATTAAACGTTAAAATTAAATTTGGAATCAAAAATCGTTTCGTTTGAGCCCAAACTCGGCTTAATTCGGATTAAAATTAACCAACTTCCGGTTAAACCGGAAGTAAGGCTTTTTTATGATTTATTAACGATTTTAAAATAAATTTTTAATAAAAATTTCTTTAATTTATCGAATTAATCGTTTTAAAAATTAAAAATCGTTTCATTTGAGCCCTAACTCGATTTAATTCGGATTAAAATTAACCAACTTCCGGTTTAACCGGAAGTAACGAAAATAATAATTCAAATTAAACGTTAAAATTAAATTTGGAATCAAAAATCGTTTCGTTTGAGCCCAAACTCGACTTAAATCGGATTAAAATTAACCAACTTCCGGTTAAACCGGAAGTAAGGCTTTTTTTACGATTTATTAGCAATTTTAAAACGATTTTTTAATGCAAATTTCTTTAATTTATCAAATTAATCGTTTTAAATTGATTTAAAATTAAAAATCGTTTCATTTGAGCCCAAACTCGATTTAATTTGGATTAAAATTAACCAACTTCCGGTTAAATCGGAAATAATAACTCAAATTAATCGTTAAAATTAAATTCAGAATCAAAAATCGTTTCATTTGAACCCAAACTCGACTTAATTCGGATAAAAATTAATCAACTTCCGGTTAAACCGGAAGTAATGCTATTTTTACGATTTATTAACGATTTTAAATCGAATTTTTGATAAAAATTTCTTTAATTTATCAAATTAATCGTTTTAAATCGATTTAAAATTAAAAATCGTTTCATTTGAGCCCAAACTCGATTTAATTTGGATTAAAATTAACCAACTTCCGGTTAAATCGGAAATAATAACTCAAATTAATCGTTAAAATTAAATTCAGAATCAAAAATCGTTTCATTTGAGCCCAAACTCGACTTAATTCGGATAAAAATTAATCAACTTCCGGTTAAACCGGAAGTAAGGCTATTTTTACGATTTATTAACGATTTTAAATCGAATTTTTAATAAAAATTTCTTTAATTTATCGAATTAATCGTTTTAAATCGATTTAAAATTAAAAATCGTTTCATTTGAGCCCAAACTCGATTTAATTTGGATTAAAATTAACCAACTTCCGGTTAAATCGGAAATAATAACTCAAATTAATCGTTAAAATTAAATTCAGAATCAAAAATCGTTTCATTTGAGCCCAAACTCGACTTAATTCGGATAAAAATTAATCAACTTCCGGTTAAACCGGAAGTAAGGCTATTTTTACGATTTATTAACGATTTTAAATCGAATTTTTAATAAAAATTTCTTTAATTTATCGAATTAATCGTTTTAAATCGATTTAAAATTAAAAATCGTTTCATTTGAGCCCAAACTCGATTTAATTTGGATTAAAATTAACCAACTTCCGGTTAAATCGGAAATAATAACTCAAATTAATCGTTAAAATTAAATTCAGAATCAAAAATCGTTTCATTTGAGCCCAAACTCGACTTAATTCGGATAAAAATTAATCAACTTCCGGTTAAACCGGAAGTAAGGCTATTTTTACGATTTATTAACGATTTTAAATCGAATTTTTAATAAAAATTTCTTTAATTTATCGAATTAATCGTTTTAAATCGATTTAAAATTAAAAATCGTTTCATTTGAGCCCAAACTCGATTTAATTTGGATTAAAATTAACCAACTTCCGGTTAAATCGGAAATAATAACTCAAATTAATCGTTAAAATTAAATTCAGAATCAAAAATCGTTTCATTTGAGCCCAAACTCGACTTAATTCGGATAAAAATTAATCAACTTCCGGTTAAACCGGAAGTAAGGCTATTTTTACGATTTATTAACGATTTTAAATCGAATTTTTAATAAAAATTTCTTTAATTTATCGAATTAATCGTTTTAAATCGATTTAAAATTAAAAATCGTTTCATTTGAGCCCAAACTCGATTTAATTTGGATAAAAATTAATCAACTTCCGGTAAAACCGGAAGTAAGGCTATTTTTACGATTTATTAACGATTTTAAATCGAATTTTTAATGAGAATTTCTTTAATTTATCGAATTAATCGTTTTAAATCGATTTAAAATTAAAAATCGTTTCATTTGAGCCCAAACTCGATTTAATTTGGATAAAAATTAATCAACTTCCGGTTAAACCGGAAGTAAGGCTATTTATACGATTTATTAACGATTTTAAATCGAATTTTTAATGAAAATTTCTTTAATTTGTCGAATTAATCGTTTTAAATCGATTTAAAAATTAAAATTTGTTTTATTCGAGTCAAAATTTGACATATTTTGAATAAAAAATGGCGAATTTCCGGTTTTATTTTTTTAATCCAAACATTTCCGTCTTTCGAGTTGTTTTAAGTCTAATTTTTTAATAATACAAAAAAAAACAATTAAACTTGACATTTGAAACGTCAAAAATGACAGATTGTAAAAGAATTTGAAATTTAGAATAATTAAGCGATAAGATTCACATCCTGTTTTGCGAAATTAAAGTTTTATTATCGTTAGAAAAAAAAAAGTTAACCCGGCGACGTTGGGTGGCCCATAAATAATTCATATACAGGTGGTATGCTAATTTATTTTCGCATTATTTTGTTATGCCGCCAAAAACAGATCTTTTTTTTAATTGTTTAATATATATCACATTAATTCGAAAAAATAAAATGTTTTAACGATTATTTTATCGCAATAAAAAAAAATCTAATTAGACATACAGCGTGGTTCGGAATTTATCATCTATTTTGTGTACCAAGTCCCGTTTTTGGAGAGTTCGACCGCATAACTTTCACCTCAAGTTCAATTAAAAGACGGTTTGCGGTTCCGTCTTGAGAGAGTACTTTTACTTTCAACTTGAAACTAAACTTGTTACACGTCGTACTCAACACAACTTGATTACTCAAGCTCAATCAGGCAGCAGTTACATCATTCACAAAGCGATAAAACGAATCTGACGTAACGATCTTTATTAATTTCTTTTTGTTTTATTTTAGAGTATAGCAGACGTAATTTCAAAAAAGTCGGTTTGGCAACGTTGGGGACTCAACGTCCTAATTAAGCAAACAAAAACACAGCCGATTGTTAAAATGTCACCGAAAGAATTCATGTTTGGTTATCAAAGCACTTTGATGACTTTGGGGTATCAATTTTTACCTACTTGGATTAATTTTGATAAATTAGGATTAATTGATAGAGTAAGAAATTCTATTATATACTATTTATATACTATAATTTTGATTAAATTTTTTTTTATTTAGATGTATCATTTTGATGGCGATTACGAAACGGTTTACACCGGAAAAAATGACGTTACAAAAGCCGGTTTGATCGATACTTATTGTGGATCGACCCATATTCCTCAATGGGAAGGTTATTGTGGCGACATCCAATACTCATCGGATGGAACGAAATTCGAGAGCCATCTAGATTCGAATAGGACGTTAAAATTTTTCCGGAAGAGTTTGTGCCGCGCGAAACCCATCGAAAAAGTCAACGAAACGGTGTCGTCGGGACTCCGAGGGTTCGTCTATAAGTTTCCGAAAAACGCCAACGATAACGGATTTTACGACGAAAAGAATAAATGTTTTTGCCGCGAGGAGCCGTGCTTGCCGCGCGGGTTGCTCGATGTTAGGGAATGTTATTATGGATTTCCGATCGCGCTGAGTTATCCGCATTTCTTGGACGGGGATGAGAGTCTGTTTAAAGACGTGGAGGGGATGGTACCGGATCGGACGAAACACGAAAGTTATTTCGTTATTAATCCGGTGAGTCTTGAGGCAATTTGACAGTTTTTATTTCTTAAAAATCGATAAAAAACAGCGAAATCAATCAGTATCGACGAAATAGACAATGTTTGATGTCATTTCGATGATTTTCTTTATTTCTTAAATGTCAAAAATTTCATAAACGTCAAAATTTTGACATTTTTCATTTCTTAAAAATCGATAAAAACCGGGAAAATGAAAAATTTCGAAAAAATAGATGTTTTTGATGTTATTTCGATGTTTTTTCATTTCTTAAATATCCCGAAAACGTCAAAATTGACAAAAACGTAAAAATTTTGACATTTGTTATTTCTTAAAAATCAATAAAAACCGCGAAAATGAAACATTTCGAAAAGATAGACGTTATTTGATGTTATTTCGATGTTTTTTCATTTCTTAAATATCCCGACAACGTCAAAATTAACAGAAACGTCAAAATTTTGACATTTGTTATTTTTTAAAATCAATAAATACTGCGAAAATGAAAAATTTCGAAAAGATTGACGTTGTTTGATGTTATTTCGATGTTTTTTCATTTCTTAAATATCCCGAAAAGGTCAAAATTGACAAAAACGTCAAAATTTTGGCATTTGTTATTTCTTAAAAATCAATAAAAACCGAGAAAATGAAAAATTCCGAAAAGATAGACGTTGTTTTATGTCATTTCGATGTTTTTTCATTTCTTAAATATTTCTTAACTGTTAAAAATGACGTAAATGTCAAAATTTTGACATTTGTTATTTCTTAAAAATCGATAAAAACTGGGAAAATGAAACATTTCGAAAAGATAAACGTTGTTTGACGTTATTTCGATGTTTTTCATTTCTTAAATATCCCGAAAAGGTCAAAATTGACAGAAACGTCAAAATTTTGACATTTTCCAATTCTTAAAAATCGATAAAAACCATGAAATCAAGAAACTTCGCAAATATAAGCACCATTTGATGTCATTTCGATGTTTTTTCATTTCTTAAATATTTCTTAACCGTTAAAAATGACATAAATGTCAAAATTTTGACATTTTTCATTTCTTAAAAATCAATAGAAACCGCCAAATCGAAAATTTCGAAAAAATAGACGTTGTTTGATGTTATTTCGATGTTTTTTCATTTCTTAAATATCCCGAAAAGGTCAAAATTGACAGAAACGGCCAAATTTTGACATTTGTTATTTCTTAAAAATCGATAAAAACCGCGAAAATGAAAAATTTCGAAAAGATAGACGTTATTTGATGTCATGTCGATGTTTTTTCATTTCTTAAATATTTCTTAACCGTTAAAAATGACATAAATGTCAAAACTTTGACATTTTTCATTTCTTAAAAATCAATAGAAACCGCCAAATCGAAAAATGTCGAAAAGATTGACGTTGTTTGATGTTATTTCGACGTTTTTTTATTTCTTAAATATCCTGAAAAGGTTAAAATTGACAGAAACGTCAAAATTTTGACATTTGTTATTTCTTAAAAATCGATAAAAATCGCGAAAATGAAAAATTTCGAAAAGATAGACGGTGTTTGATGTTATTTCGATGTTTTTTCATTTCTTAAATATTAAGAACCGTTAAAAATTACATAAATGTCAAAATTTTGACATTTTGCATTTCTTAAAACTCCATAAAAACCGCGGAATCGCGATAAATCGTCAAAATAGGCAATACTTGATGTCAGTTCAATGTTTTTCCATTTTTTAAACTCTTAGAAAGCGTCAATATTGATATAAACGTCAAAATTTTGACATTTGTCATTTCTTAAAAATCAATAGAAACCGCCAAATAGAAAAATTTCAAAAAGATAGACGGTCTTTAATGTTATTTCGATGTTTTTTTTTAATTTTTAAATGTTAAAAATGACCTAAACGTCAAAATTTTGACATTTTTCATTACTTAAAAATCAATAAAAACCGCAAAAACAAAAAATTTCGAAAAGATAGACATTGTTTAATGTTATTTCGATGTTTTTTCATTTTTTAAATATCCCGAAAACATCAAAATTAACAGAAACGTCAAAATTTTGACAATTTTCAATTCTTAAAAATCCATAAAAATTGCGGAATCGAGATAGATCGTCGAGCTAGACAATATTTGATGTTATTTTGAAGTTTTTTCATTTCTTAAATATCCCGAAAACATCAAAGCCGACAGAAATGTCAAAATTTTGACATTTTCATTTATTAAACATCAATAAAAACAGCGAAATCAAAATACATCGACGAGATGGACAATGTTTGATGTCATTTCAATGTTTTTCCATTTTTTAAACTCTTAAAAAACGTCAAAATTGACAGAAACGCCGAAATTTTGACATTTTTCATTTCTTAAAAATCGTTTTCATTTCTTAAACATCAATAGAAACAGCGAAACCAAGAAACATCGACGAGATGGAGAATGTTTGATATCATTTCGATGTTTTTCCATTTTTTAAACTCTTAAAACACGTCAAAATTGACAAAAACGTCAACATTTTGACATTTCTTATTTCTTAAAAATCCCTAAATACCGGGGAATCGAGATAAATCCGAGATAGACAATATCTCATGTCATTTTTATGTTTTTCCATTTTTTATACTCTTAGAAAACGTCAAAATTTTGACATTTTTCATTTCTTAAATATCAACAAAAACCGCCGAATCGAAAAATGTCGAAAAGATAGACACTGTTTAATGTTATTTCGATGTTTTTTCATTTCTTAAATATCCCGAAGACGTCAAAATTGACAGAAACGTCAAAATTTTGACATTTCTCTTTTCTTAAAAATCGATAAAAACCACGAAATCAAGAAACATCAATGAGATAGACAATGTTTGACGTCATTTCGATGTTTTTCACTTTTTAAATCCTTAGTAAACGTCAAAATTAACAAAAACGTCAAAATTAACAGAAACGTCAAAATGTTGACGTTTGCATTTCTTAAAAAATCAATAAATACCGCGAAATCGAGAAGCAGGGACGAGATAGGCAATGTTTGATGTCGTTTTGATGCTTTTTCATTTCTTTAATATCTCGATAATGTCAAAATTTGAGAAAAAAGCGATTGAAACGTCAAAATTGACAGGAACGTCATAATTTTGAAATTTTTCATTTCTTAAAAATCGCTAAAAAACCGCAAAATCGAGAAAGGTCGTCGAAATAACATATATTTGCATACTATTCAATAAAAAAATACCATTTTTTACCATAAAAATCTCGCCTTATTTATAAAAGGTGCTAATTTTTAAAAACATTAGGTAATTTAAGCAAATTTTAATTAGAATCTAAAACGTAACGAAATTATGCAAAAAAACGTTATATTAAAGTTAGTTTTTTTTAAAATGCCAAGGACTAGAAAAATCAAAAGTGAGGTTATGTCGTTACGAAATGTCATTGTTTCAGGAATCCGGACTTCCGCTCGATTTGGCGGTTCGTTACCAAATAAACATGGCCATAGGCGACACTTCCGGCGTTAGTAACTCGGATAAATTCGCGAATAAGATCATTCCAATGTTATGGACTGAAAACGTGAGTAAAAATATAAAAATTTAAACCTAACCTCAAAAAATCACTCAATAATTCTTTAAAAAACGAAAATTTACAACAAAAAAGGATCATTTATTGAGGATTTGAGGTAGGGTTTAAATAAAACAACTCATTTTTATAACAATAAACATTTTTTAAACATTCTTCTTTATTCCAGAGACTTTACAAGTTACCGGAATCGTTAGCGACTCGTTTCAAAATGTACCTAACGATCCTTCCGTGGGGTGAAACGGCGGCAATCGGTGCTTTTTTCATTTTAGGCGTTACATTCATCTTATTAAGTTTACATCGATATAGAACGTCGAAAAAATTGGACGTAAATTGGTTGGGTGAGAATGAAAATCGAATTGAACGAAAACTTTCGGTTTATCTCCCAGATAATAAAAGTAACATGTCTAATAAAGAACTGGAAGTGTATTATAACAGTTTGGTGGCGCCTTTAAATCAAAAAATTGACATCGAACACGAAACCGATGAAGACATTGAATAAGCGGCAAGAAATATTATAAAAGAAATTGTGATATTTACGATTTAAGTTGATTAAATTGATTTTTCCTTTAAATTTTTATTGAAGTGAGAGGAAAAAGTTGTATTAAAGGTGCTAAATCTTGCCTTTTACCATTAATTTAGGAAAAATTCAATTTTCTAACCTTAAAATAATTTAAGTGATATTCCCGAGGAAGGTTGTACAGATAACTTTTTATATTTACGCGTAAAAGTCTATTTATGTAATTTATTGTTAAGTAAAACAATTATTTTGCTCAAAATAAACGTTTTTTTTCTTTTTTAAATAAATGGTACGTTAATTTCCACTTACTTGGTGATTAAAAATCCAATTTAGAACTCCCCGTTGCGCATCCCAATCCCGAAACTTCCGTCGCGTCCAAATCTAAACAATTTAATTATAATTTACAAATAAATTTAAAATATTTAATAAACAAAAAAAGTGAGGTTAAGTGTATGTGTGGTTGCATATCTGGTCAGGTTTTGGAGTTTAATGCGCCATCTCTTAACGAGATGTCAAACTAACTCCTGTCACAACAAAAACATAACCTCAAAAATTTCGTTTTAATTTAATCATTTTAATTTTCACTAACCTGGTGGAAGATGTAACATTTCAATCGTAAATTTCTTCCTCCTCAATTTAAAGACGTGCTCGATCGTGCTCGAAATCTTCGAATTAAACCCGTTCTTTGGGGTTAATTTATCGATGTGGATGAAGCCTTGAAAATCGGAGAGATATTTGTTATCGGCGAATTCGGTTCCTGCGAACGCTTGGAGCCGGATATAAATATCGCTTAAATGCAACAATCGATCCACCTAAACACAAAAATTTTTGGATAAATTCAAGGATCACATTCAAGTTTCGATGTGATGTCACAAGCAATGTTAACCATGTATTTTCATACAAAAAAGGTTTAAAATTAACTCATAAAGCATATACAATAAGTTATTTTAATCCACCGATCAGTAGTACCAACCCGACGCAAAAATAAAACCAAATTTTGAGATTTTTGACAATTTTAGGTTATAACTTATTAATTATGAATGATAGAGAATTAGTTTTTAAACAAAAATCGTTTAGAATTAACTCATAAAACGTATTAAATAAACATATTCACTCCATCAATCAGCATTACCAACCCGACCTAAGTAAAATAGAGTTTTTGACGTTTTCAACCATTTTCTTTTATAACTCAATAATTTTAAGTGATGGGAAAAAATGTTTCGTACAAAAAAGGTTTAGAATTAACCCATAAAGCATATGCAATTAGTTAATTTGATCCATTGATCAGTGGTACCAACCCAATCTATGAAATATTGAAATTTTGAAGTTTTCATCAATTTCTTTGCATAACTCGTTAATTATAAGTGATGGAAATAGTATATTGTTTTATATGGAAGAGAAGCAGTGCTTTTTATGGCGTGGTCTGTCGCTTAGCGACGAACGCAGTGAGTCGCTAATGACAGATGAGCCGTTAAAATTGTGGCGTGTCCGACAGTTTGCCGGACGAACGAAGTGAGTCCGGCAATGACGGACCAGCCACAAACGAATCTGCTTCTCTTCCGAATAAAACATAGTATTTTTTCTTCAAACGTTGCAAATAATACGGCGCTAAAGTGAAATGTTCTTCAACGTTATGGCGCTAAAGTGAAATTTACTTTAGCGCCATAACGCTGAAGTACTTTTTTGCTATGTTGATTTTAGCAACCGTCGTTATGCAACAATGACTTACTTCTACCGCGAGTAAACACGACAACAAAGTTGTCATTTAATGACGTTTGAAGAAAAAAAACGTTTCATACAAAAAACGTTTAGAATTAACCTATAAAACATATGCAATAAGTTATTTTCATCCATCGATCAGTAGTACCAACCCAACACAAAAATAAAACCAAATTTTGAGCTTTTTGACAATTTTAGGTTATAACTTATTAATTATGAATGATGGAGAATTACTTTTTAAACAAAAAACGTTTAAAATTAACTCATAAAACGTATTGAATAAGCATATTCACTCCATCAATCAGCATTACCAACCCAACCTAAGTAAAATAGAGATTTTGAGGTTTTCAACAATTTTCTTTTATAACTTAATAATTATAAGTGATGGAAAAAAATGTTTCGTACAAAAAAGGTTTAGAATTAACCCATAAAGCGTATGCAATAACTTATTTTAATCCACCGATCAGTAGTACCAACCCAATACAAAAATAAAACGAAATTTTGAGGTTTTTGACAATTTTAGGTTATAACTTATTAATTATGAATGATGGAGAATTACTTTTTAAACAAAAAACGTTTAGAATTAACACATAAAACGTATTTAATAAAGATATTTACTCCATCAATCAGTATTACCAACCCAACCTAAGTAAAATTGAAATTTTGACCTTTTCAACAATTTTCTTTTATAACTCAATAATTTTAAGTGATGGAAAAAAATGTTTCGTACAAAAAAGGTTTAGAATTAACCCATAAAGCATATGCAATGACTTATTTTTATCCACCGATCAGTAGTACCAACCCAACACAAAAATAAAACCAAATTTTGAGGTTTTTGACAATTTTAGGTTATAACTTATTAATTATGAATGATGGAGAATTACTTTTTAAACAAAAAACCTTTAGAATGAACTCATAAAACGTATTGAATAAAGATATTTACTCCATCAATCAGTATTACCAACCCGACCTAAGTAAAATAGAGTTTTTGACGTTTTCAACCATTTTCTTTTATAACTCAATAATTTTAAGTGATGGAAAAAAATGTTTCGTACAAAAAAGGTTTAGAATTAACCCATAAAGCATATGCAATTACTTATTTTAATCCACCGATCAGTAGTACCAACCCAACACAAAAATAAAACCAAATTTTGATGTTTTTGACAATTATAGGTTATAACTTATTAATTAGGAATGATGGAGAATTACTTTTTAAACAAAAAACCTTTAGAATGAACTCACAAAACGTATTGAATAAAGATATTTACTCCATCAATCAGTATTACCAACTCAACCTAGATAAAATAGAAATTTTGACGTTTTTAAAAATTTTCTTGTATAACTTAATAATTATAACTGATGGAAAAAAATGTTTCGTACAAAAAAGGTTTAGAATTAACCCATAAAGCATATGCAATTAGTTATTTTAATCCATCGATCAGTGGTACCAACCCAACCTAAGAAATATTGAAATTTTGACGTTTTCATCAATTTTTTTGCATAACTCGTTAATTATAAGTGATGGTAAAAAACGTTTCATACAAAAAACGTTTAGAATTAACCTATAAAACATATGCAATAAGTTATTTTAATCCACCAATCAGTAGTACCAACCCAACGCAAAAATAAAACCAAATTGTGAGGTTTTTGACAATTTTAGGTTATAACTTATTAATTAGAATGATGGAGAATTACTTTTTAAACAAAAAACGTTTAGAATTAACACATAAAACGTATTGAATAAAGATATTTACTCCATCAATCAATATTACCAACTCAACCTAAGTAAAATAGAAATTTTGACGTTTTTAAAAATTTTCTTGTATAACTTAATAATTATAAGTGATGGAAAAAAATGTTTCCTACAAAAAAGGTTTAGAATTAACCCATAAAGCATATGCAATGACTTATTTTTATCCACCGATCAGTAGTACCAACCCAACCTAAAAAATATTGAAATTTTGACGTTTTCATCAATTTTCTTGCATAATTCATTAATTATAAGTGATGGAAAAAAACGTTTCATACAAAAAACCTTTAGAATTAACCTATAAAACATATGCAATGAGTTATTTTAATCCACCAATCAGTAGTACCAACCCAACGCAAAAATAAAATCAAATTTTGGAGTTTTTGATAATGATTATAACTTATTAATTAGGAACGATAGAGAATTACCTTTTAAACTACTAAACTAAAATTTTTTTTTAATTTTTTACCTTCTCAAATAAATGAGCTGGAATTGTAACATAACCCACAGCTTTCTTGGTTTGAATCATCATCCGAAACGCGTACAAAAAAAGGGTTAAATCTTTCAACGCTTTTTCTTCATTAATTTCGTCTAATAAATGCCAAACGGGGGACCCCAACGCATGGATTCCAATTCGAAGGATATTATTCTCATTGTGCGATTTCAAATCGTTTTTAATCGATGTTAATAACTCGTAATATTTTTGGTTATAAAACGAATTCGATTTTAACGTTTTCGTATCATCCCAAGTGGTGATTTTGCAATCGTCGAGATAATTTTGCGACATCACCGATGATAAATCGTAGTAATGACCAAATTTTTGTTCCGGTTCTTTTTGTTCTGTAGGAAGGTTATCGTAACGGAACGCTATTTTCATTTTGGGCCGTTCTACATTCGGTTCTTCGACATTTTTCGGTTTCGATTCGATGAGTTGTGGTAATTGGTGAATCTAACCAAAAAAATTTTATTAAATTATAAAAAAATCATTAAAAAAATGATTAATTACCAATTTTTCTGATGAGATTTCTTGGCTAGCCACGAAAATACTGTGTTTATTCACCACGCCTTCAGCTAAGAAGTATTTGAGTACAATTCTTGCGTAAAGTCCTTGAGAATCTTCCTCTAATAAAATTAATTTTTAATTGATATTATTTTAATTAATTAATTCGTTTTACCGATTATTACTAAGGATCCAACAGGAATTCCGTCCCCTATAAATGAATCAAAAATTAGATGCTTAAATAAAAATAAATTAACATCCTAACCTAAAAGTTCATCCAACGAAGGAATTCCTGACGAAATTAGCGTTTCGGATCCTCCAAAACGACTCAGCGTCCCCACAATCGAATTTTTTGAAGGATCTTCATGCATTTTTACTCCTTTTTTGCATGAATTGGTTCAAATTGACGAAAAAACGACGCGAAAAAGAGTGAGGTTATGTTGATTTTTTGAAGTGACGTTTTTCGTTACCAACTGTTAAAAAATAAAAAAACTAAATTATGATTTAATTTTAAATAAAATAACGGATAATTAAACATTTTTATAACTATATTTTATAAATAAATTATTAATAACTCAAATAACCGATTAAATTAATATTTATATTTTAATTAAAAAATTAAATATTTATTAAAACATCCTTGAAACACCAATAGATGGCGCTAATAATAAATACATTCATTAATTTTATTTTTCTATATAAATAAATTAATAATTATTTAAAAAAAGATATATAATCTTCGTAAACCAAAATTTAATCAATTAAAATCAATTTAAGATTATTTCACCACATAAAATAGAATAAAAATTAACCTGTCAATTTAAAATGAGGTTAGGTTAAAAATCCTTCTAAATCCCAATAATAACTTTAATAAACCCTTTTTTTTAAATTAATTAATTTACTTTAATTTAAAACGTTTTGATGCAATTGATTTTAATTAATTTTGATTAATTGAATAAACTCGCCCAAATTGGGGTGATAATAAACACGTCTGAAGTTAGTTACGATTTTGATGTCAAAAAAAATTATTAATTAATTCGAATTTAATTAAATCTTACAATTATAATCTAAATAAACTCATAATTCCGATAAAACCACTTTTCTAAATCCGATTTAATCACAATTATATTCACAATCGAATCATAAAAAAAAATTGATTAATTCGAGTGAAGTTAGTCACCCTTTTATGACTAATTCCAATCTCCAATTAAATTTTAATTGCGATGAGTCGTTGCGAAATGATAACGAATTTTTTTATCAAATTGCGTTTAAACTTAATTGGAGGAAATTAGTGATAACGCTAAAAAAATAAAAATCGGGGCGGGGTTCGTTCGGCGTGAAATTAGTCAATATAAAGGTTAGTTTCAAAATGGCGCCGCCGGTGGTTAGAAAAAAAAATTATTTCTAACCTCATTCACCTCCCCGTATTTAATAATTAAATAGAGAAAAAAGTACCATATAATTAAATAATCACGTAAAATAAAAATGTGGGATATCGTGCAAAGAGTACGCGAGGCGTTTTGGAACGAAGATGTTTGGTTGCCCCCGAACACCACATGGGCGGATATGACTCCGGGGTCTCGCCCCGGAATCACAATGACCGATTATCGACACTTGTACTTCCCATTACCATTAGCTTTAGTTATGTTGGGCATTCGATACCTTTTAGAGAAGTAAGTTAAATCTCGACAGATTGAGGTTATGTTAAACGTCAATTTTTAATTAAAGATATTGGTTTACCCCCGTTGGAATCTCTTTGGGTATTAAAAACGTTAGACCAAAGAAAGCACCGCCTAATATCGTCTTAGAGAAAGCGTATTCCACTTATCGGAGGCAATTAAAACATAAACAAGTAAGGCTAAAATAAATAATTAAACAATTTTCTAGTTTCTTTAATTTTAGATACAAGGATTAGCGAAACAACTCGATTGGAGTGAAAGACAAGTGGAACGATGGTTACGATTAAGATATAGCCAAGAAAAACCGACCACGTTAGTTAAATTTACAGAAGAGGCTTGGAGGTGTTTATATTATCTGTGTTCATTTACTTATGGATTAGTCGTTTTATGGGATAAACCATGGTTTTGGGACATAAACGAGTGTTGGTAAGTATTACTCAAAAAAAAATTAATTAAAATATTCCACTTTTATAAAAACATAACCTCACTTTCTTCCATAATATAACAGAACCTCCATAAAATCATCATAAAAGGGATCTTTTTGCTTTTTTACTTCTCTTTTGCATAAATTGGTTCAAATCGAAGAAAAAACTATGCGAAAAAAAGTGAGGTTATGTTGATTTTTTGAAGTGACGTTTTTTTTTGTTGCCAACTATTAAAAAATAAAAAAACTAAATTATGATTTAATTTTAAATAAAATAACGGCGTTTTAAACATTTTTATAATAATATATCGTTAATGAGTGTTTTGGGACATAAATGAGTATTGATGCGTATTACTCAAAAAAAAAAATTCGGTTCTTATAAAAACATAACCTCACTTTCCATTTTTTTCAATTTTAACTTTTTTAGAACCTGCATAAAATGGCTTTTCGATTTTATCGAATTTTTTGAAAGATCTTCCTGCATTTTTACTTTTATTTCGCATAAATCGGTTCAAATCGAAGAAAAAAAGTGAGGTTAAGTTGATTTTTTGGAGTGACGTTTTTGTGTTGCCAACAGTTAAAAAATTAAAAAAGAAAAAACTAAATTATGATTTAATTTTAAATAAAATAACGGCGTTTTAAACATTTTTATAATTATACATCATAAATTAGTGTTTTGAGACATAAATTTTTACAAAAACATAACCACACTTTCCATTTTCTTTTCCCCATTTTTTTCAATTTTTCGTTTCGACACTCATTTAGAACCTCCATAATAATAAATGATTATTGATAGATTTATTTAACTAGATTTCCAATCGAGATCAATTTTTAAAGTAAAAAAGGATTTTAATTTCAAATAAAAATCAACAATGCAACTTTAAATTTATGACCATTCGAAAGAAAATGAAAAATCCTTTAAAATGATACCAAACTCGATGAGGTTATCTTCAAAAACAAACAAGTTATCACACTTTTTTTTGTTGACAGAAACAAAAAACAATTGACGATCGTTTTATTTAAACTGCCATAACTCCCTTATTTATTAAGATAATGTGATGGTGTTTGGACTTAAATGGAGCGAAATTTGATGTAGATTTTGTTTTTTTTTAAATAAATTTATTTTTTTAATATTTTCGAAGAACTGTCAAAAATGAAATGTCAACAAATTTGATTTCATTTTAAGTAAATTTCTAATCAGGATCAATTTTTAAAGTAAAAAGGGATTCTAATTTCAAATAAAAATCAAATTGCGATTTTAAAGTTGAAACTGCAACTTTAAATTTATGACCATTCGAAAGAAAATGAAAAATCCTTTAAAATGATACCAAACTCGATGAGGTTATCTTCAAAAACAAGCACGTTATGACACTTTTTCTTTTGACAGAAACAAAAAACAATTGACGATCGTTTTGTTTAAACCCCCATAACTCCCTTATTTATTAAGATAATGAGATGATGTTTGGACTTAAATGAAGCGAAATTTTATGTAGATTTTGTTTTTTTAAAAATAAATTTATTTTTTTTAATATTATCGAAGAACTGTCAAAAATGAAATGTCAACAAATTTAATTTCATTTTAAGTAGACTTCTAATCAAGATCGATTTTTAAAGTAAAAAAGGATTCTAATTTCAAATAAAAATCAAATTGCGATTTTAAAGTTGAAACTGCAACTTTAATTTTATGACCATTCGAAAGAAAATGAAAAATCCTTTAAAATGATACCAAACTCGATGAGGTTATCTTCAAAAACAAACAAGTTATCACACTTTTTGTTTTGACAGAAACAAAAAACAATTGACGATCGTTTTGTTTAAACTGTCATAACTCCCTTATTTATTAAGATAATGTGATGGTGTTTGGACTTAAATGAAGCGAAATTTTATGTAGATTTTGTTTTTTTTTAAATAAATTTATTTTTTTTAATATTATCGAAGAACTGTCAAAAATAAAATGTTAACAAATTTGATTTCATTTTAAGTAGATTTCTAATCAAGATCGATTTTTAAAGTAAAAAAGGATTCTAATTTCAAATAAAAATCAAATTGCGATTTTAAAGTTGAAACTGCAACTTTAAATTTATTATCATTCGAAAGAAAATGAAAAATCCTTTAAAATGATACCAAACTCGATGAGGTTATCTTCAAAAACAAGCACGTTATGACACATCGAATCATTTTTTCTTTATAATCCGCCATTTTGTTTTTATTATTATCAAATTTCATTAATTCAACATCGTATTCGTAATCTACATTAAATTCTCTTTAAAACGAGCCCAAACTCGATGGGGTTATCTTAAAAGATAACAAACTTCCGATTGTCACTTTTTTGAGGTTATGTCAAAATTAAATGTTGGATATCTCGGGTGTTTTTTGAGATAATCGGGTCGAGTTTGGACTCGATTTAAAGGATTTTTAATTCCCCATCCGATTAAATAATAAAAAAAGGAACCTAACCTCACTTTTTAAACGTCAAATTATTATTGTTTGATATTTTTCGCCATTTTGATTAATAATTTTAATTAAATAATAATAAAATTCTTTAAACATAAGTAATTCTTTTTTACATCTAAAAATACCTCGGTCGAGTTATCTTAAAAAAAAAAGCAACAAACACCAACTTCCGGTTGTCACTTTTTTGAGGTTATGTCAAAAAAAATGTGGGATATCTCGGGTATTTTTTAAGATAATTGGGTCGTGTTTGGGCTCAAATTAAAAGATTTTTAATTTCCCACGTGATTATGCACAAATAAGTAACATTGCTAGTGTAAAACTAAAATTATATATATATTTTATGAGTTTTTTTAATCAAAACATTCGATTCTTATAAAAACATAACCTCACTTTCCATTTTTTTTCCCCATTTTCTTCAATTTTTCGTCACGACACTCTTTTAGAACCTCCATAAAATCGTCGTTCGATGTTATTTTCACCCCATCATCTTTGTTGTGATTTTTTTGCGTCACATTACGTATTTGATCGGCTGATATGGATCGTTTTGGGCTTCTCAAAGCTTCGAAATCGACGTTTGGTTTGAAATCGTTGCGAAAATCTTGTTGGAGCTTAATCCGATCTTGCGTGTGGGGCGTTAAAGGCTTCCGAGCCAAATGATTCGATTCCGGAAGCTCCGAACACTCATTTCGACGTTTTTTTAAAATAAAACTTTTAGCACGTTCCAACATGGTCGTTGGAGCGATTGAATTAAATTTTATCTGATTTCGTTATCTTTTATTACTTTGTTTTTGTGATAAACGAGATAAAACGTTTTATTTAATGATTTTTTTTTAGGAATGGGTATCCATATCAATCGGTTTCAACGGATATTTGGTGGTATTACATGTTTTCGTTGGCTTTTTATTGGTCTTTATGCGTGAGCCAATTTTTCGATGTAAAACGGAAGGATTTTTGGCAAATGTTTATACATCACATCGCAACGATCGTTTTAATGTCGTTTTCATGGATCTGCAACTTACCTAGAATAGGTAGTTTAGTACTGGTTGTCCATGATTGCGCGGATATCTTCTTGGAGGCGGCGAAAATGGCTAAATATTCGGGTTATCAAAAAATTTGCGACACAATTTTCGCGATTTTCACGATTTTGTGGATTACAACCCGCGTCGGGATCTATCCATTTTGGATCATTCATAAGTAAGCTTCTTAATTCGTCTTAATTTCAATTTCAAAACGATTTTGTTTTAGCACATCGATTGTGGCCCCCACATTATTACCAATGTTCCCTGCTTACTACATTTTCAACGGTTTATTACTGTTATTGTTAACGTTACACATAGTTTGGACTTACTTGATATTGAAGATAGCTTATAAAGCTTTAAACGCAGGACAAATGGAGGGGGATATCCGATCGAGTAGTTCAAATTATAGCGAAGGCGATTCGAAATCACAGTGAGAATATTAAAATAAAAAATTCTTCCTCATAATTTCCAGTTAGATTAATATTCTCGATTATTATTTGGGAATAAGATGCTACCAAAAAGAAATCCAAATATTGCGAGTCAAAAAATGCATTTCTCGTTTCTAATTTTGCTCGATAATTCCAGTTAAAATTAAATATATTTAAAGGAACACATTAAACTCACGCGCGTACACCTTTAAATACAATTTTTGTACAAATTTCACTATGTTTATATTTTTTGAATGTACCAAAAAAATAGTTTCAACATTAAAAAAAAGGTATGAAACGATTTTTTGCGTTTTATTACAAAAAATATCAATTAAAACTCACCTAAAATCCGTTTCTAAGCAAAATCGCACCACTTAATCTTAATTTCGCCAAATAAATTCGTATTTTTGAGGTTAGGTCGCGACAAATGACGTTTCTCGTGTTACCGATTTTTACCGCTAGATGGGGGAGGATGAATTAAATTTAAATATAAATAATTAATATTTCCGATTATTATTAAAGCGAATTATGAATAAATAATTATTAGGAAAACAAATCTAAACATATCAAGTTATAAAACGCGTTTCTTGTAAGTTTTAATATTAAAAAACTTTACTGCGTTGCCGATTTTTACCGCTAGATGGGGGTTGATGAATTAAATTTATAAATAAATAATTAAATTAATATTACCGCTTATTTTAAAGCGATTTATGAATAAATAAAGCTTAGAAACCCAAATTTAACGATTACGAGTTATAAAATGCATTTCTCGTAAGTTTAACCACAAAAAAGTATGAAACGATTTTTTGCGTTTTATTAAAACAGTTTAGATTTAAACTCACCCAGATTCTATTTCCAAGTAAAATCGCACGAATTCACCACTTCTTTATCTTGATTTCGACGATTAACACAAAATTATCTTCAAAGAATAAATTCGTATTATTGAGGTTACGTCGCGCCGAATGACGTTTCTCGCGTTACCGATTTTTACCGCTAGATGGGAGTTGATGAATTGAATGTAAATATAAATAATTAGTTTTCCCGATTATTATTAAAGCTAATTATGAATAAATAATGTTTAGGAAAACAATATCAAGTAATAAAACGCGTTTTTCGAAAGTTTTAACATTAAAGAAATATGAAATATATTCAATGACGTTTACTCAGTTGCCGATTTTTACCGCTAGATGGGGGTTGATGAATTAAATTTATAAATAAATAATGAAATTAATATTACCGCTTATTTTAAAGCGATTTGTGAATAAATAAAGCTTAGAAAAACAAATTTAAATATTACGAGTTATAAAATGCATTTCTCGTAAGTTTAACCACAAAAAAGTATGAAACGATTTTTTGCGTTTTATTAAAACAGTTTAGATTTAAACTCACCCAGATTCTATTTCCAAGTAAAATCGCACGAATTCACCACTTCTTTATCTTGATTTCGACGATTAACACAAAATTATCTTCAAAGAATAAATGAATGACGTTCTCGCGTTACCGATTTTCACCGCTAGATGGAGTTGATTAATTGAATTTAAATATAAATAATATTTCAGAATATTATTAAAGCGAATTATGAATAAATAATGTTTAGGAAAACGAATCTAAACATATCAAGTTATAAAACGCGTTTCTTGTAAGTTTTAATATTAAAAAAATATTAAACGTTAACTGCGTTTCCGATTTTTACCGCTAGATGGCGGTTAATAAATTGAATTTATAAATAAATTAAATTAATATTACCGCTTATTTTAAAGCGATTTTTGAATAAATAAAGCTTAGAAAAACAGATTTAAATATTACGAGTTATAAATTGCATTTCTCGTAAGTTTTAACCATAAAAAAGTATGAAACGATTCTCTGCGTTTTATTAAAACAATTTAGATTTAAACTCACCAATATTCTATTTCCAAGTAAAATCGCACGAATTCATCACTTCCTTATCTTGATTTCGATGATTAACACAAAATTATCTTCAAAGAATAAATTCGTATTATTGAGGTTAGGTCGCGTCGAATGACGTTTCTCGCGTTACCGATTTTCACCGCTAGATGGGGGTTGATAAATTGAATATAAATATAAATAATTAAAATTCCCGATTATTATTATAGCGATTTATGAATAAATAATGTTTAGGAAAACAAATCTAAGCATATTAAGTTTTAATAATAAAAAAATTTGCTGCGTTTCCGCTACATAATAATAGAAATAATTAAATTAAATTCAATTTAAACTCACCAAGAATCATTTCTAATCAAAACAGGGCCAATTCATAACTTGAATCTTGTTTTTAATTATTACAAAACGTTTTTTTCCGATTAAATTCGTGCTATTGATGTTGAAATAGTTTCCTGTAAAAACCGATTTTTTCGTGTGTGCTTCTCCCGCTAGATGGACCGGATTGAGGTTATGATCTAAAAAAGAAATATTTAGATAAATAGCCTTTATTTGGTCGAAAAAATTAAATAAATACAAATTCCTTATTTTAAACATATTAAAATGAACATCAACAGGTTTTGTGTGAAAAAATTTACAACAATTCGCTTAGGTAGAGGCTCTCGAGAGCAGAAATACTGTCCTAATGTTATTATTTTATTTTATTTATTATTAATTATATATTAAGTCTTATTAGATAAGACGTCTCGAATTAAATTTAATTTAGATTCAGTCATATTTTTTTGAAAACATCGCTTTTTATTAAAACTTTGATATGTATTTATAAAAATCATGAATTGAATAGAGATGTTTCTCAAAAAAACATTTTTTTTAACTTAATTATTATTACAAAAAAGAAAGAAATACTTAAAAATTTAACGTAAACCTTATCGATTACTATTCGTGCGCTCAAATAAAATTTTGTTGTTGTCTTAAAGTTCTTATCTCACCCATTCTGTCCCTGGTTGTACTGCTTTTAAATAAGGGGGGCCACTCACTGGAGAATCGGGATAACGTTGCATGTATCGCTCCAATCTCAAATATTTTACAGTTACTAAATTACCAGCGTACCTAATTACAACAAAAAATTAATTTGAATCAATTTAAGCGATTAATAATTAATTTACCACCATCCGTGTAAACTCCTATAAGCAATTGCTGCATCTGCTTGATTCGCGCACTTAATATAAACGCATTGGGAGGTCGTATCAACCGCGCAATGCAAAATACGACATTGATGAGCGCATTTACTCAGCACAGCTTCTCTTATTGTTAATAAATTCCGATCTCCGTCATCCACCATCCCGCGTACTTTCAAACAAGGAGTTGGAGAGCATGGGAGGCTGTTTACTGACCCAACTTGAGTTTCAAAAGCTTGACCTTGCCATGATTTATTCCTAACGTTACTGGTGTTGATGTTGGGGTTTCCAAGCCATCTCCAAACTTCGTATGGTTCTCCTTGAACCACTTGCATTTCGGTTCTAACCCTAGATTCGTTTTCGTTGATGAATTTGATCGCTTTTTTCCAAACTTTCTCCATCCCTAAAATTAAGTTAATTAATAAATTAAAAATTAAGAGTTAAATTAATTATTTACTTGATCGATCATTAATTGGAATGATCATATCGCGGACGTGATTTATAATTAAATAATTATCCCCTTCTTCTGAAGCGTTCCCTTGCAAAGTATCCACGATTCTCTCCACCATATAATAAAGCTCATCTTTTTGTTTTTGCCGAAAATGCTTTAAATATTTATAACCGGTGTTTCCAAGATACCCAATCACCAAAACCCCAATTACAACCACAACTAATTGAACGATCGCTGATAATTTATTATAAAGGGTACATTTCCAAGGGATTTCGGGGTTTAACACAGCCAAAACCACTTTTCCATCATTATCTATTAATTTTTCTAAATCATCCTAAAAAGACATTAATTAATTTAAATTAATAAAAAAAAAAATCATTACAATATCACTAATAGGATTTTCTAAAACAGTTTCATCCGCTAAATCTCTAATTAAGGCGATTTCCCATTTGGGGTTGGATAAAGCGAGGATGTGCAAATTGCTCAAAACCAATTTGGCGTCGTAAATGTCGGGTAGATTCTTTTTGATGTGCTTGAAGATGTCCGATTCCGTTAAGAAACCTTTGGCGGGGGAGGCGCATTTCCGATCGACGGCGATTTTGGTTAATTCCGGTTTTAATGCGCTGTATAAATCGGCGGCTTCGCGTACTTCCTCCTCTAAAACGCACGTTTTTCCGCGTTTGTGGTTCACATTTTTTGGGTCGCAACGCGGAAAAGCCAAATCTAAAATTAAAAAAAAAAATTAGAATTAATTTATTTTTATATAATCAAATGTTCTTTAATAATAAATTCGCAATCTCGATAAAAAATCGTTTCAAATGAGCCCAAACACGATGAGTTTATCTTCAAAAATACACTTGATTAAATATTTTGACATTTTATAAATGTCATGTGTCAAATTTGAACTTAAATTATAAAGTGAACGTCAAATTTGACAGGTTGAAAGGAAAATTCCAATTTTTATATACTGAAGTATCATATTTAACGTTAAATCCGTAATCGCGACGAAAAATCCTTTAAAATGAGCCCAAACACGAGTTTATCTTCAAAAACAACCAAGATACGCTTGTTTGAAAATCATTTTGACAGTTTGTGTCAAATTTGACAGATTAAGTTAGAAATGTCATTTTTTGATCAAAATACAATTAAATTTTTTATCAAATTTGATTTTTTATATCGACACATTCAAAATTTAGTGTTTAGGTGAATGTCATATTTGACAGGTTAAAAATAAAACTGACATTTAATGTTCATATTGGTCAATTACACTTTAAATTAATAATTAAATGTTATGTTGATAAGATGACAAAATAAGACGACATTTCCAACTCAATCTGTCACTTTAATGTTTAAAGTGTCAAATTTGACACATAACAATGATAAGTTGTGTACTAAAATAATCGTATCTTGTCATCAAACTGACATTTAATTATTAATTTGAAGTATAATTTCCCAATTTGAGTGTTAAATGTCAATTTAATTTTCAACCTGTCAAATTTGACATTTACTTAATAATTTAATATGAAATATGTCGATGTAAAAATCAAATTTGAGTGATTGGAAGGAAAAATAATTGAATTCAATTTACATAAGAGTCATTTCCAACCTAATCTGTCACTTTAATGTTTAAACTGTCAAATTTGACACATGACAATGACAAGTTGTGTACTAAAATAATCGTATCATGTCATCAAATTGACATTTAATTATTAATTTGAAGTATAATTTCCCAATTTGAGTGTTAAATGTCAATTTTATTTTCAACCTGTCAAATTTGACATTCACTTAATAATTTAATATGAAATATGTCGATGTAAAAATCAAATTTGAGAGACTGGAAGGAAAAATAATTGAATTCAAATTACATAAGTGACATTTCCAACCTAATCTGTCACTTTAACGTTTAAACTGTCAAATTTGACACATGACAATGACAAGTTGTGTACTAAAATAATCGTATCTTGTCATCAAATTGACATTTAATTATTAATTTGAAGTATAATTTCCCAATTTGAGTGTTAAATGTCAATTTTATTTTCAACCTGTCAAATTTGACATTTGCTTAATAATTTAATATGAAATATGTTGATGTAAAAATCAAATTTGAGTGATTGGAAGGAAAAATAATTGAATCCAAATTACATAAGTGACGTTTCCAACCCAATCTGTCAGTTTAACGTTTAAACTGTCAAATTTGACACATGACAATGACAAGTTGTGTACTAAAATAACCGTATCATGTCATCAAATTGACATTTAATTATTAATTTGAAGTATAATTTCCCAATTTGAGTGTTAAATGTCAATTTTATTTTCAACCTGTCAAATTTGACATTTGCTTAATAATTTAATATGAAATATGTTGATGTAAAAATCAAATTTGAGTGATTGGAAGGAAAAATAATTGAATCCAAATTACATAAGTGACGTTTCCAACCCAATCTGTCAGTTTAACGTTTAAACTGTCAAATTTGACACATTACAATGACAAGTTGTGTACTAAAATAACCGTATCTTGTCATCAAATTGACATTTAATTATTAATTTGAAGTATAATTTCCCAATTTGAGTGTTAAATGTCAATTTTATTTTCAACCTGTCAAATTTGACATTCGCTTAATAATTTAATATGCAATATGTCGATGTAAAAATCAAATTTGAGAGATTGGAAGGAAAAATAATTGAATTCAAATTACATAAGAGTCATTTCAAACCTAATCTGTCACTTTAATGTTTAAACTGTCAAATTTGACACATGACAATGACAAGTTGTGTACTAAAATAATCGTATCATGTCATCAAATTGACCTTTAATTATTAATTTGAAGTATAATTTCCCAATTTGAGTGTTAAATGTCATTCTTATTTTCAACCTGTCAAATTTGACATTCGCTTAATAATTTAATATGCAATACATCGATGTAAAAATCAAATTTGAATGATTGGAAGGAAAAATAATTTAATCCAAATTATATAAGTGACATTTCCAACCCAATTTGTCACTTTAATGTTTAAACTGTCAAATTTGACACATGACAATGACAAGCTGTGTACTAAAATAATCGTATCATATCATCAGATTGACATTTAATTATTAATTTGAAGTATAATTTCCCAATTTGAGTGTTAAATGTCAATTTAATTTTCAACCTGTCAAATTTGACATTCGCTTAATAATTTAATATGCAATATGTCGATGTAAAAATCGAATTTGAGTGATTGGAAGGAAAAATAATTGAATCCAAATTAATTAAGTGACATTTCCAACCTAATCCGTCACTTTAATGTTTAAACTGTCAAATTTGACACATGACAATGACAAGTTGTGTACTAAAATAATCGTATTTTGTCATTAAATTGACATTTAATTATTAATTTAAACTTTAATTCCCAATTTGAATGTCAAATGTCAAATTTATTTTCAACCTGTCAAATTTGACATTCACCTAAAATCTTAATATTGAATGTGTCGATATAAAACATTAAATTTGATAAAAAAATAGTTGTATTTTGATGAGAAAATGACATTTCTAACTTAATCTGTCAAATTTGACACAAACTGTCAAAATAATTTTTAAATAAGTGTATCTTGGTAGTTTTTAAAGATAAACTCGTCGTGTTTGGGCTCATTTTAATGGATTTTTTGTCGCGATTACGGATTTTATTATATATATTATGTCAAATTTGACATTTGGAAGTAATGTCAATATTAAGGTCACAATTTATCCTAAAATAAAAAAAAAATAAGGTAAAAATTGTTGGAAAAATAAAGTTATTAGGATTAAAAGATACAAATTGGGAATTACACTTCAAATTAATAATGAAATGTCAATTTGATGACAAGATACGATTATTTTAGTACACAACTTGTCACTGTAATGTGTCAAATTTGACAGTTTAAACATTAAAGTGACAGATTAAGCTGGAAATGTCACTTATGTAATTTGGATTTGACATTTAACATTCAAATTTGGGAATCAAAATCTTACAAAATCAAAACGGCTGCGAATTAAAAAAATTTTACCGATATAATCGCGATTTTAATTAATTTAACCCAAATTTATTAATAATTGTGTCACTTTAATATTTAAACTGTTAAATTTGACACATGACAAGGTGCGTACTAAAATGTGTCGATATAAAACATCAAATTTGATAAAATAATAGTCGTATTTTGATCAGAAAATGACATTTCTAACTTAATCTGTCAAATTTAACACAAACTGTCAAAATGATTTTCAAACAAGCGTATCTTGGTTGTTTTTGAAGATAAATTCGTCGTGTTTGGGCTCATTTTAATGGATTTTTCGTCGCGATTACGGATTTTATTGTATATATTATGCCAAATTTGACATTTTGAAGTAATTTTAATATTAAGGTCACAATTTTTCCTAAAATAAAAAAAAGAAGATAAAAATTATTGGAAAAATAAAGTTATTAGGATTAAAAGATATAACTAATTGTTATTAAAAATAAAACGACCAATAAATATTTTGACTTAATGCAACAACAAAAAAAGAAATTGGAAATTTATTTGGGAAACTTTCGTTATAAAACGAAAAATAAACACAACAAAATAAATCAAAATATTTATTGTTCTTTATTTATTATTATTATTATTTTTTGTAGCCTTAAAGAAACATAATAAAAGCCAAATGTTCCACATTAAATTTAAAATATAAAGCAACGAAAAAAGACCAAAGCGGATCCCACAAATTCATTTAAAAAAAAAAAAATAAAATAATGAACGAAAATAAAAAAATACAAAATAAAACATTTAACCAATTTAAATTTAATTTAAAGATTATTACCCTTACCGGACACACGATCAACGTCCGTTAACCCATCACGCATCCCCATGTAGAGTATGGCCAATCCAACAAAAAACAATATCGCAAACGCAATCAATGCGCAAGACACCAAATTGTTCTTCAAATGACTCCGTTTACCAGTTTGGTGATAATCGCGAACAAAATCGCGCTTAACAGGCCTAAATTAAACAAAAAAATAACTAAATTTTAACAAATTAACACAAAAAAATCAAAAAATTAACCTAGACATATACTTGGGAGTCCCAAAAGTAGACCCATTCGTATCATTCTCCAAAGAACTCGATTCATTTTTCATTTCCCCACTTTCTGATGGAACTTGAGTCGACAATCGAGACAACCTCCTAGTAAAACTACTCAAAAATGGGGTATCAACCTTATCTTCATCCACATTGGTGTTAATTGTCGTCCCATACGGCTTATTATAACCTACAATTCATTAAATTAATTAATAATTAATTAAAAAATTAATAATTTTAACTACCTGTTGTTGTATTAAGACTTAACCTCGATCGGATTTGATTTAATCGATCAGCGGCGTAATCACTGGAATTAAATCGACTCGAAATCAAAAACGACGAAGTATCCGGTGAAATATTTTTGGGTTGAGATCGTTTCAAATTTAAAAAAGACGACGTTGGAAGAATTTGGGGCGATTCATGATTATTAGTCGTCTCGATAACCTCCGATTCAGTATCCGAGCCGGTATCGAAATCGTTTTCGATCATTTTAACGATATTCGTGGTTTTCGAGACGACTTTTTTCTCCTCCATCACTTTATTTACTTCGTTCTCATCGGGGTCGGAACGCAAAGTTCGACGAACCGGTACTTTCGAAGCAGGGGCCCCCATCGTGATCCTACGCGGTTTCGAAGTGGGTCGAACCGAGTCGGAATCGCTTTCTTCTTCGCTCGAATATTTGCCAAGGGAACGACGGTTATCGTTCGACGTGGTTTTCGCTTTGTTTTCGAGGAGAATTTTTAACTTTTTAACCATAACCTTCCTGGTGGTGCCCGTGATGGGCATAACGGGGAATCCGAACTCGAGGAGTTTCGAGCGAATCTCGGCGTCGCTTAAATTCTCGACGTCAATCATCTATAATAATTGAAATAAATTCATTTAAAAACGATTTAAAATTAATCAACGTGGTTTTTAGGTTAATTTTTTTTTAGGTTATGTTGTTTTTTTAAGAAAGAGATAGATGGCGAAAAAAACGCTTTCGCATAAAACTTATTAACTCACCTTGAGGGGTTATCCGCAACGTTCTCCACTAATTAGGGGCCCTAAGGGGCGATTTGTGATGTGTTTGTATACTTAAAAGTCGTTTTTTCCGGGATTTTTTGCTAAAATCGTGCCGTTTTAACGTGGGACGCGCTTCTTCAACACAAACAACCAGACAACGGTTGCCAACCGTTACAAAATCAAAATGGCCGCGAATTAAAATTTTTTTTACGAAATAATCGCGATTTTAATTTATTTAACTAAATCAATCTCAAAAATTAATTAATTTAATTCAATTAAAATTAATTTAACCCAAATTTATTAATAATTGTGGTTTTAAATCGATTATTTTTATTTCACGTTGGTATGAACCCCGCCAAGATTTTATGTTTGCCGAATACCGCGAGTGAGGGCGCTAATACGAAGCGATTTAAATTTAATTTTAAAGTTTTGAGCTTGAACTTAAACTTTATTATTATTTTCAATGATACATTAATTTACAATCGTAAACTTCTATTTTTAATTAATTATTTTTAATTATGTCGTTCTTGCACATTGATAAGTTCGTTACAATTTATGCTGTATATTGGGTTGCCTATCCTAGCACCCCCACAATTTATAGTATATTCAAAATACAATTTACAATGTTTAAACCACATAACAACAATGATTCTAGTTCTACTATATAATCTAATATACATACGTACTTTTCTAAAACGTATATTTAACCTTTCAAGTATTTCATTAAAAATATACAACAATCTAGCACTTAATAACATTAGCATGTAAAACTAACACTATACCTAGAACTAGAATCATTTAGGTTTAGCCACACATCTCTAAAGACGGCAACAATTAGTTATATCTTTTAATCCTAATAATATTATTTTTCCTACAATTTTTATTTTTAGGAAAGATTATGACCTTAATTTCGACATTCTTTCCAAATATCAAATTTGACATGATATACAGCCTGATTCAGAGTAAGCGCCTTATTTTTTTTAGCCACACTATGGGTACTACTTTCAAAATTCATTTCTTTCCCCATCAAAAAGCACACATTTTAATCTAGTAGCGCATGAATGTTTTACACTCGATGTTATTTTTGTCCAAATATCAAGTAGCGCTAGACACAAAAGAAACAATTAAACTTTATTTTGTAATAAACATCTACTTATTTATTTATTTTGACAAAAATAACATCGAGTGTAAAACATTCATGCGCTACTATACTCTGTTTTTAAACCAGGAGGAGTAAACGCGAAAGTCAGATTTACACTAGGAAAAATCACCAGAAAATATCACTAGATATTTTGGCGGTAAATTTAAATTAATAATTGTTATTATTTATTTATTTACTTATTATTGTATTTATTTTCGTTTGTTATCGTCAACACTAAACATACAAATTAACATTGAAGTTATGAGTGTATTTATTTCAAAATATAATAAAGAAGGGTTTAAGAACACAAAATTTACAATAATGACACGAAACTGTCGAATTGTCAATAACCTAACCTTCAAATTCAAAATTAAAATTGCCTGTGTGTGAACCTTCCTCGCATTCAACCAATCACGTGCAAGGTCAATCTGGTGACAAATTTAAAATACTCCTCCTGGTTTAAAAACAGAGTATAGTTGCAGTGCAAGTGTTAGTTCTAGTTTTAATTGTTATTCAGCGCTAAGTTGTATATTTTTAAGTTTCGG